TGGGCTTAATGGAAAGGCAATAGTTTGCGCTCTGTACCTGGTGACCTGAGTTTGATTCCCGGCAGCGGCTCACAATGGGAGTATCTAAATGGGTCCTCGCCTTACACCGCACTTGAGCCCACGCTAATAATCAGCTTGGTGAAGTACACAGGATTCAATCAACCTCTATGAACCAACACAGCGTGGCCAGGTCGTTTTCACCCAGCAGTGAATTGACAAAGGGCTCCAAACTAGTATGAATTTTAACGTATTTATGTATTACAGGATGTCAGTTACACTATATACCGGACACTATCTGTACAATTAAACGAATGTGTAGTAGCACACACATTGTCACATACGTTATACAAATAATTCTACTGAGTACATATACAACGCAGACGTGAACACGTCATAACAGTGTGCCACGCTTGGGTAAACCACCAACATACTCTCTGCACCTTGTCCGTTAAATGGTTGACAGCGATGCTTAGACAAACATTGTCGAAGAGAAAGATAAAGATGTTTATCAAAGAATCGCAAACAAATTAAGGGTGGTGCCCAATTGTAAGGAGAGAGAGAGAGAGGGTGGCGGTCTCCTTGCGAGCTCAAGGCTTGGGACAACTTGATGTGTGGAGAGAAGCAGGGAGAGAGGTGGAGAGTGGACCAACGATGCAGGGAGACGATTGAAAGGAGGAGGCAGAGAAGACAAGATGAGTCGGGAGGCAAGGAGGTGAGCAGTGAGATCGGCAGGAAGGCGGGTTGATAATCAGGGATAGAGGAAAGAGGGAATCAGGGATGCAAGGAATGCAGTAAGATGCGAGAGGGTAGTAGAGAGGAAAGGGACAGGGATTCAGGAAGGAGAGTGGGAAGACAGAGAATTAGGGGGGGGGGGGGCAGAAAAAAGGGGGTTTGGAGAGAGTGAAAGGGGGTTAAGAGGCTGGGAAAGGGGGTAGAGAGTCTGGGAAAGGGGGTTAAGATGCTGGTAAAGGGGGTTGAGATGCTGGTAAAGGGGGTTGAGATGCTGGTAAAGGGGGTTGAGATGCTGGTAAAGGGGGTTGAGAGGCTGGTAAAGGGGGTTGAGAGGCTGGTAAAGGGGATTGAGAGGCTGTGAAAGGGGGTTGAGAGGCTGGTAAAGGGGGTTGAGAGGCTGTGAAAGGGGGTTGAGAGGCTGGTAAAGGGGGTTGAGAGGCTGTGAAAGGGGGGTGAGAGGCTGGTAAAGGGGGTTGAGAGGCTGTGAAAGGGAGCATGGAGTCAGCTGGCAGCTGCCCGGACCGCGCCTCCCGGCCACAGTGGCGACCACCCCCAGGGCTAACGAGGCGACGCGCTTCGCTGTCCGCTCGCGACCTTTCATATCTGAACGAGAATTGATCACAACTCGGGGAGGGCCTCTCGCAGCCGTGTGTCCCCGTCAAGCCGGGGACGGTGCCAATGAATGGGATCCCCGTGGCCTCCTGCGTGGCCACGCCGCCAAAGCGGGCCGGAGAGAGACGCCAAGAAGCCGGGCCACGGGTTCCCCTCTGCGGGTTGACGTCAGCCACCCCCCCCCCCCCCCATCAGCTCCCTTTTAAGTTTTCGCAAGAAGAAGAAGAAGGGAGAGAAGAATTTTCTTTCTCAGTGGGCACGGACCCCGGAGCTGCTGGGGGGAAACAAAAGAAGTAGGCGAGGGCTTCGCAACAAAACAAAAAACACAACTTGCCAAGATGGCGAAAGGGGGCGCGTTGTTTTCTAGGGATGAGGCCACCACCACCACCACCACGGCACTGAGCCGTGCGTGCGACACAAAGGAGGAGTGATGGGGGTGGGTGGGTAGATGGTGAATCGAGCAGCCACGCCGGCCCTCAACACTGCCCTGTCCGCCTGCCCTGCGAGATACACTCTCTCATCATCACGTCCCAGCCAAACCTCAAACATGTTCGACACTCACTCACTCACGTCGCACTATCAAAGACAAAGACCCCCCCCCTCCCCGTGTCACCTTAACAGATTGTTGGGGCTAAGTGGTGTTAACGAGCTCCTATGAAGGATGGCACGGCGCATTTGTTTACACACCGAACCAAGTACTCGTTTGAGGCTGAGTCTACCTAGGCGAGAGCCGGTTCAGATAATCGTCACTGGTGTTAGCCGTGAGCGGGAATCGAACTCGGGTAGCCGGGTTAGTATCGTAGCTCGATATTAGGTGGTGTGTGTGTGCACACTCTCAGTGACACACATTATCGCAAACACACTAACGCAAGACACTCATTCACTCACTCTCACATACAGATAATGCCACACTAAAGACAAAGATCCCCCATACAGTCTCAACATACTTGGGGCAAAGTGCTCTTAGGTATGCAGTGCATATGAAGGCCGGTACGGCGCATCACAACGCAGACGCACAGTCTGGGACGTTTAGACACAAACACACTCTCAACTCACTCTCACAATGACACACAGAATACAGTCCCACACAAAGACACTCTCTGACATACCCACGGTGTGCTAGAATCACGAGACGACTGCCACCACATACATCCGCAGTCTCGGGTACTACTTGGGCAACCATCTCCAAGTAACTCTGTTCCAACCGGTGACAATTACAAGTCTCAAGTATTACTACGGTGAGTCTCAGAAAATGATACATAAGAAGTCTCAAGTACCGTTGATCTAACAGAGAATTGATACAAACAGCCTCAGGTATTACTGTTCCAGCAGGTAATGGGTAGAAACCTGTCGCAAGCACGAATATTTCATCAAGTGACATACCAACAACTCCCAGTACTTCTGTTCCAGCAAATGGGTAAGGACAGCCCTTAAGTACTGCTTTTCCAACAGATGATTAATTATAACAGCCTCGGGAACTCGTGTCCCAGGGGAGATGATGGATCACAAGATTCAAGTACTAATGCTCTCGCAAGATGATGGATATGAATGAAGGACTCTGGTAGAACCATCTCAGCATAAAACCATATAGCGTCCACCCTAATGACTGTACTTTCCCTCTCAGTTCCGTCTTCCCACGATTAGCATATGCAAACTTGGTGTGAGAAAATGGGAACCTCTTATCGTTGATGTGTGTACCGGTTTGATACGACCTCTATGCCCCTGTTGGCGCTGGGCTTAATCCGTCCTGAACACTGTGATTTGTTTTCAAATACTTTAATGCAGACATTGAGAAGGAGAGCAGAGGGGGGAGAGGGGTCTACTCAAATGTCTTCCTGATTTCTTTAATCATGAAGATTTTACGGTGAAGCCAAATAAGTTTCACCCCCAAAATGATGTCCGTTTGGGTCAGACTCTGGTCATGAGTCCAAATAAGATTGTATTATCAATTAGCATCTGTTGGGCCACTAATACCTGAGATTTATCGTCTTATCCAGCAGCATTTGCTGGGACAGTTGACACTTCTATATCCAGTACAGTATATTAAACATGCACAGTCATATACCTACACACACACAGACCCACAGCGTACTGCTGACATGTCATAATAATCTACAACTCTACATACACGTATTTATTTACGTTCGCTTACAACACAAAGGCCAACGATACGCACGTAATAAGCACAAACGCGGCGCGATACGTACCGGAAAACAACACACCAGGGCACGGCAAACACTCAAACAACGAGTGGGCAAGCCCCACTACCACCACCACACCACCACCACGATGAAGACGACAAAACAGCGGCTGGGGCTGGGGGGGGAGACCGACTCAAGTCGCGGCGTGAAGGAGGTGGGGGAGTAAGGCGGTGGAGGAGGAGAGCGACTGGGGGTGACACTCGGTGGGGCGAGGGTGATTGTAAGTGCTTAGTAGTACTACTGTAGTCGCGATGATGACGATGATGATGATGATGGGAGACATCATTCAGCACGCACAAAGTGACGAGGGATACAACATGGCATCCGACAAACAACACGCGCACGCCGCCACCGCTCTCTGCCGTCGTTTTTGTCCGACGCAAAGCAAAGCGGCCCCCCTCCTCCACCACCACCACCACCACCACACAAACCGCGGTGTTTAAAGCCCCCCCCGGTCCACCTCCACGTGTGTTTAAAGGGGGGCTCACCCCCCCACACACACCACACAAACCGCGGTGTTTAAAGCCCCCCCTGTCCACCTCCACGTGTGTTTAAAGGGGGGTGAGCCCCCCAAACACACCACACAAACCGCGATGTTTAAAGCCCCCCCCCCTGTCCACCTCCACGTGCGTTTAAAGGGGGGGCTCACCCCCCCCCACACACACCACACAAACCGAGGTGTTTAAAGCCCCCCCCCCGGTCCACCTCCACGTGCGTTTAAAGGGGGGGCTCACCCCCCCACACACACCACACAAACCGCGGTGTTTAAAGCCCCCCCCCTGTCCACCTCCACGTGCGTTTAAAGGGGGGGGCTCACCCCCCCCACACACACCACACAAACCGCGGTGTTTAAAGCCCCCCCCCCCGGTCCACCTCCACGTGCGTTTAAAGGGGGGCTCACCCCCCCCCCCCCCCCACACACACCACACAAACCGCGGTGTTTAAAGCCCCCCCCCGTCCACCACGTGCGTTTAAAGGGGGGGGTCACACCACCCCCCCCCCTTATTATCTCGGTGCCGATTTTATTAACTATCAAAAGTACACTTCTTGAAGCTCTCGACAAAGCACTCGACTACACGACACAAGCATTTACACGACAAACACCATTTACGTACCCCCCACTACCACCACCAGAACCATCACATACATGACATGGATCACACACATGACGCGGATCACACACACATGACGCGGATCACACACACACGACACGAATCACACACATGACACGGATCACACACACGACACGGATCACACACATGACACGAATCACACACATGACATGACATGAATCACACTAACACATGACATGGATCACACACACATGACATGTCACGTTCTCTTAGTTGCTAAACGACAATGGACAGGGGGGAGACTGCGATCCTCCTCAAGGAGACGGGCAGGAGTCGTCGTGGTTCAACACAAACCCACCCAGGACGGACACGCGACTCTTAC